TTTCCGACTTTCTAACCGGTTGTATTTATCCACGTGCCGCTTGCAACGAATTTGCAAGTCGGACATTTCCGAGTGTCCTTGTTCTGACTAGCATGTGAACGCGGCATTATTCACCGTTTACATCGTGACGTATTTCATTACGCCTTACATCATCTTCACGGAGTCTATCCTGGTGGTGTAGTGTTTGTAACGCAATATGGAGGAGGGCCTGTCTCCTCAGATTGCATTTATTTTGGGAGATAGCAAAATGTGACCTTTTCATTCAAGACAGGATACATATTTTGTTTCAGGTGATAATATAACATGTTTTGGTGAGTTACTTTTTCCTCAACTTGTTTCTATAACTTTATTTATAAACCGGGTGGTTCGAGCCCTGAATGCTGATTGGCTGAACATTTGACAAAACAATACTTTTCACTGTTCTAATTACATTGATAACCAGTTTATAATCGCAATAAGGCACCTCAGGGGTTTGTGGTATATGGCCAATATACCACAGCTGTATCTAGGCACTCCGTGTTGCATAAGAACAGCCCTTAGCCATGGTATATTTGTCATATACCACACCCCCTTGGGCCTTATTGTTTAAATATAGCAAGTCAAGCTAGCTTGCACTGTAGAGCAGCTAGCTAGCTAAAAGGTAGTCTAGGTTGAAGATACTTTTGTAGCTAGCGACCTCCACCTAATAATTATCATCAAAAACAAAACGTCATTACCATCACATTAAACTTAAACGGGAGGCAACATTCATATAGGATAATTGTCTTAAGAGCCAATGTGTATTGTTTAACATTAATATTAAAATAGTACTCATTTATAGGAATGGGTAATTGTTTACAAGTTGCTAGGTGTCCTATAAAGCCTCCACCGAAAACCACATTTTCATCTTCTGTGGTTTGGTAACTTCCTGTTCTTCAACGGACTCTGGCTGGATTGAAGAGGATGCAAAGTTTGAAAAATTTCAAAGTATGCAGCGTCAGTCTCGCAAAAGAGCCTTAAACCGCAAGGGGGCGTTGCATTTTCACTCCGTTGTGGATGTCCCCATTGAAATGCATGACATCCGGCGCAACGTGACTGAGTGCTTATGGGTAATGTGAACGAGGCTTGACATGCTGACTACAACGGCCACGCTCATGTTGATTTTGTCTATCCCCACCAGACACGATCATGACGTGCAGGTTAAAATACCCAAATCAACTGTGAATCAATTACAGTGGGGAGAACAAGTATTTGATACACTGCCGATTTTGCAGGTTTTTCTACTTACAAAGCATGTAGAGGTCTGTACTTTTTATCATAGGTACACTTCAACTGTGAGAGACGGAATCTAAAACAAAAATCCAGAAAATCACATTGTATGATTTTTAAGTAATTAATTTGCATTTTATTGCATGACATAAGTATTTGATACATCAGAAAAGCAGAACTTAATATTTGGTACAAAAACCTTTGTTTGCAATTACAGAGATCATACGTTTCCTGTAGGTCTTGACCAGGTGAAGCAGGGATTTTGGCCCACTCCTCCATACAGACCTTCTCCAGATCCTTCAGGTTTCGGGGCTGTCGCTGGGCAATACAGACTTTCAGCTCCCTCCAAAGATTTTCTATTGGGTTCAGGTCTGGAGACTGGCTAGGCCACTCCAGGACCTTGAGATGCTTCTTACGGAGCCACTCCTTAGTTGCCATGGCTGTGTGTTTTGGGTCATTGTCATACTGGAAGACCCAGCCACGACCCTTCAATGCTCTTACTGAGGGAAGGAGGTTGTTGGCCAAGATCTCGCGATACATGTCCCCATCCATCCTCCCCTCAATACGGTGCAGTCGTCCTGTCCCCTTTGCAGAAAAGCATCCCCAAAGAATGATGTTTCCACCTCCATGCTTCACGGTTGGGATGGTGTTCTTGGGGTTGTACTCATCCTTCTTCTTCCTCCAAACACGGCGAGTGGAGTTTAGACCAAAAAGCTCTATTTTTGTCTCATCAGACCACATGACCTTCTCCCATTCCTCCTCTGGATCATCCAGATGGTCATTGGCAAACTTCAGACGGGCCTGGACATGCGCTGGCTTGAGCAGGGGGACCTTGCGTGCGCTGCAGGATTTTAATCAATGACGGCGTAGTGTGTTACTAATGGTTTTCTTTGAGACTGTGGTCCCAGCTCTCTTCAGGTCATTGACCAGGTCCTGCTGTGTAGTTCTGGGCTGATCCCTCACCTTCCTCATGATCATTGATGCCCCACGAGGTGAGATCTTGCATGGAGCCCCAGACCGAGGGTGATTGACCATCATCTTGAACTTCTTCAATTTTCTAATAATTGCGCCAACAGTTGTTGCCTTCTCACCAAGCTGCTTGCCTATTGTCCTGTAGCCCATCCCAGCCTTGTGCAGGTCTACAATTTTATCCCTGATGTCCTTACACAGCTCTCTGGTCTTGGCCATTGTGGAGAGGTTGGAGTCTGTTTGATTGAGTGTGTGGACAGGTGTCTTTTATACAGGTAACGAGTTCACAGGTGCAGTTAATACAGGTAATGAGTGGAGAACAGGAGGGCTTCTTATAGAAAAACTAACAGGTCTGTGAGAGCTGGAATTCTTACTGGTTGGTAGGTGATCAAATACTTATGTCATGCAATAAAATGCAAATTAATTACTTAAAAATCATACAATGTGATTTTCTGGATTTTTGTTTTAGATTCCGTCTCTCACAGTTGAAGTGTACCTATGATAAAAAGTACAGACCTCTACATGCTTTGTAAGTAGAAAAACCTGCAAAATCGGCAGTGTATCAAATACTTGTTCTCCCCACTGTATATTAATTTCAGGGCCGGTCGAAACACACATTAAACATTATTTGACATTTAGCTAGCTAGCTGTTGCTAGACAGTTTTTCCTGGGAGATTAACATTTTGTTATTTTACCTGACATGCATATGGACCTCATTTTAGCTGGTTCTTTGTATAATTTTGACCTGGAGTCATACAAATGGTGTGTTTCTCTACTCCGATGCTTAATACACAGATGTATTATATTATTAGGCTTATTTTTATTGTTTCATTCACTTCCCTTTGACCTGCACTGTTGGAGCTCTGAGCATAAAAATGTCATTGTACCCTGCTATAACATCTGCAACCCTGTGCATGTGACTCATAAACTCTCAAAATCTAAATATTTTTTTCCTGTAATTCATCTCTTGTTTGTCTTTCAAGCATACACCTGGGTTTGTATCTTCCTGATATCCAATAAGGAGGGGACTTGTGGATTGTCTCAAATAGAACCAAGTTCTATTCTAGCGATGGCTATGCAGATGCTTGTTCACGCGCAAGAGTGGTGTGGGGGAAATGATTGAATAACATGTACAGTGAGGGGAAGAAAGTATTTGATCCCCTGCTGATTTTGTACGTTTGCCCACTGACAAAGAAATGATCAGTCTATAATTTTAATGGTAGATTTATTTGAACAGTGAGAGACAGAATAACAACAAAAAAATCCAGAAAAATGCATGTCAAAAATGTTATATATAAATTGATTTGCATTTTAATGAGGGAAATAAGTATTTGACCCCCTCTCAATCAGAAAGATTTCTGGCTCCCAGGTGTCTTTTTATACAGGTAACGAGCTGAGATTAGGAGCACACTGTTAAAGGGAGTGCTCCTAATCTAAGTTTGTTACCTGTATAAATGACACCTGTCCACAGAAGCAATCAATCAATCAGATTCCAAACTCTCCACCATGGCCAAGACCAAAGAGCTCTCCAAGGATGTCAGGGACAAGATTGTAGACCTACACAAGGCTGGAATGGGCTACAAGACCATCGCCAAGCAGCTTGGTGAGAAGGTGACAACAGTTGGTGCGATGATTCGCAAATGGAAGAAACACAAAAGAACTGTCAATCTCCCTCGGCCTGGGGCTCCATGCAAAATCTCACCTCGTGGAGTTGCAATGATCATGAGAACGGTGAGGAATCAGCCCATAACTACACGGGAGGATCTTGTCAATGATCTCAAGGCAGCTGGGACCATAGTCACCAAGAAAACAATTGGTAACACACTACGTCGTGAAGGACTGAAATCCTGCAGCGCCCGCAAGGTCCCCCTGCTCAAGAAAGCACATATACAGGCCCGTCTGAAGTTTGCCAATTAACATCTGAATGATTCAGAGGAGAACTGGGTGAAAGTGTTGTGGTCAGATGAGACCAAAATGGAGCTCTTTGGCATCAACTCAACGTGTTTGGAGGAGGAGGAATGCTGCCTATGACCCCAAGAACACCATCCCCACCGTCAAACACGTCAGCCTCGAAACCTTAATGACTTGGAGAAGATCTGCAAAGAGGAGTGGGACAAAATCCCTCCTGAGATGTGTGCAAACCTGGTGGCCAACTACAAGAAACGTCTGACCTCTGTGATTGCCAACAAGGGTTTTGCCACCAAGTACTAAGTCATGTTTTGCAGAGGGGTCAAATACTTATTTCCCTCATTAAAATGCAAATCAATTTATAACATTTATGACATGCATTTTTCTGGATTTTTGTTGTTATTCTGTCTCTCATTGTTCAAATAAACCTACCATTAAAATTATAGACTGATCATGTCTTTGTCAGTGGGCAAACGTACAAAATCAACAGGGGATCAAATACTTTTTTCCCTCACTGTATGTGTAAAATAATAAATATATATATATATATATTAGTTTAAAAAATGTATGCAACACATGCCACGTGGCCGGTGAGGTTTGCATGTTATGTTGCCCGTAGGAGGATGCCCAACTGCTGAAAAAATTTGGAGACTGTCCTCAGCAAAAGAAGCAACTAGCTAATGTTAGAGGCTTGGCTAGGTTTAGAGCCTCTATACCAAATAAAACGTTATTTAAATATCTCCTTCAAATATTGTATGTCCATTTTTTGGGATGTTAAGAATTTGTTTATGTTCATATTTTTCATTAAAATAGCTTTTTTCTTTGTGAAAATGGCCTGATGCATTTCTTTCATTTGTCACTCTCTCCTCTTGCAGTCTGCCATTTTCAACTTCCAGAGTCTTCTGACTGTGATTCTTCTGCTTATCTGTACATGTGCATACATCAGAGCTCTAGCCCCCAGCCTGCTAGACAAGAACAAGTCTGGGTAGGTACCATTTGAGTTCAGTTCAGAAATTTAAGGGCAACTCTGGGTGTTTGCCAGATAGCCCATGTTATAGACCTCGATGAACAAGGTCTATGAGCATATCACTAGCAAACCGTGCAACTTAATTCCCGAGCTGAGAATGTACTGTTTAGCGACACGTTTTCCACGTCAGAAGGTCCGTAATCGGTAGAAACTTCTGATTAAAAAGGCATTATTTACAGTGCAGTGCCCAATAAATAGTTAAATCTAATTGTTAGATGCTACCAGGGCCTGAAATTAACTTTTTGGTCCACTAGCCTCTGTGGCAGGTAGATGATAAATCTAGCAGCCACTCAGATTTGTCACCAGCCAAAATATATTTTTGTCATGCATACATAAAATAACAAACTAAAAGCAGATGACCATGCTTTGTAATGTTTCTAAAACAAGACATTTATTAGAAAAAAAATTGTGGTATATTGCTCAATTTCATTTATTTTAACCAAAATATGAGACTGTTCAGCTTCCCCTTTATGGGCAGTTTGTTGACTGGAGTGTTTTTGGTCGTGGTGTGCCACAGCAAATCTTTCATCATGGGTTCAATGCGTGTTACAATTGGTTGAATATCTGAGGCTACCATCACAGCTACATTGACCAATATCCTTTACATCTCCTTAAAAATGATGTATTGTTGGTGATAACCTAAAAGAACACTTGTTTGCTGTACTACACTCTTACAGTGGCAAAAGAAAACAGTCACTGGAAAACATTCAGTTTGCCATATAAGGCAAGAGTTTAGAATGGAATGCCTTCTCTGGTCAGTGAGGGATTGGGATGGAGAGGTGCTGTTGGCCGACTATCACATGCGCGCACACACCACAGGAGCATAATCTGTCCGACCACACACAAACCTAAATATTCAATCCGTGAATGAAAAGGCAGTCTTAAAAAAAAATGCCAGTTGTGGAATTACAGTGCCTTCAGAAAGAATCCACACTCCTTGATATTTTCTACATTTAGTTGTACAGCCTGAATTTAAAATGGATTAAATTGAGATATGTTGTCACTGGCCTACACACAAAGTGAAATTATGTTTTTTAATTAACTGAAAAGCTGAAATGTCTTGAGTCAAGTATTCAACCCCTTTTGTCATGACAAGCCTAAATAAGTTCAGGAGAAAAAATTAGCTTAACAAGTCACATAAGTTGCATGGATTCACTGTATGCAATAATAGTGTTTAATGTGATTTTTGAATGACTACCAAATCTCTGTACCCCACACATACAATTACCTGTGAAGTCCCTCAATCAGTGAATTTCAACCACAGATTCAACCACAAAGACCAGGGAACTTTTCCAATGCCTCGCAAAGAAGGGTACCTATTGGTAGATGGTAAAAATAAAAAATCAGACATGGAATATCCCTTTGAGCATGGTGAAGTTATTAATTACACTTTGCATGGTGTATCAATACACCCAGTCACTACAAAGATACAGGCGTCCTTCCTAACTCAGTTGCCGGAGAGTTAGGAAACCGCTCAGGGATTTCACCATGAGGTCAATGATGACTTTTTAAAACAGTAGAGTTTAATGGCTGTGACAGGAGAACTGAGGATGGATCAACTACATTGTAGTTACTTATGGATCAACAACATTGTATTCACAATACTAGCCTAATTGACAAAGTGAAAATAAGGAAACCTGTGCAGAATAAAAATATTCCAAAACATGCATCCTGTTTGCGATAAGGCACAAAAGTAATACTGCAAAAAATGTGGCAAAGCAATTCACTTTTTGTCCTGAATAAAAAGTGTTACAGTGGGGGGAAAAAGATATGTAGTCAGCCACCAATTGTGCAAGTTCTCCCACTTAAAAAGATGAGAGAGGCCTGTAATTTTCATCATAGGTACACGTCAACTATGACAGACAAAATGAGAGAAAAAAAATCCAGAAAATCACATTGTAGGATTTCTAATGAATTTATTTGCAAATTATGGTGGAAAATAAGTATTTGGTCAACAACAAAAGTTTCTCAATACTTTGTTATATACCCTGTGTTGGCAATGACACAGGTCAAACGTTTTCTGTAAGTCTTCACAAGGTTTTCACACACTGTTGCTGGTATTTTGGCCCATTCCTCCATGCAGATCTCCTCTAGAGCAGTGATGTTTTGGGGCTGTCGCTGGGCAACCCGGACTTTCAACTCCCTCCAAAGATTTTCTATGGGGTTGAGATCTGGAGACTGGCTAGGCCACTCCAGGACCTTGAAATGCTTCTTACGAAGCCACTCCTTCGTTGCCCGGGCGGTGTGTTTGGGATCATTGTCATGCTGAAAGACTCAGCCACATTTCATCTTCAATGCCCTTGCTGATGGAAGGAGGTTTTCATTCAAAATCTCACGATACATGGCCCCATTCATTCTTTCCTTTACACGGATCAGTCGTCCTGGTCCCTTTGCAGAAAAACAGCCCCAAAGCATGATGTTTCCACCCCCATGCTTCACAGTAGGTATGGTGTTCTTTGGATGCAACTCAGCATTCTTTGTCCTCCAAACACGACGAGTTGAGGTTTTACCAAAAAGTTATATTTTGGTTTCATCTGACCATATGACATTCTCCCAATCCTCTTCTGGATCATCCAAATGCACTCTAGCAAACTTCAGACGGGCCTGGACATGTACTGGCTTAAGCAGGGGGACACGTTTCGCACTGCAGGATTTGAGTCCCTGGCGGCGTAGTGTGTTACTGATGGTAGGCTTTGTTACTTTGGTCCCAGCTCTCTGCAGGTCATTCACTAGGTCCCCCCGTGTGGTTCTGGGATTTTTGCTCACCGTTCTTGTGATCATTTTGACCCCACGGGGTGAGATCTTGCGTGGAGCCCCAGATCGAGGGAGATTATCAGTGGTCTTGTATGTCTTCCATTTCCTAATAATTGCTCCCACAGTTGATTTCTTCAAACCAAGCTGCTTACCTATTGCAGATTCAGTCTTCCCAGCCTGGTGCAGGTCTACAATTTTGTTTCTGGTGTCCTTTGACAGCTCTTTGGTCTTGGCCATAGTGGAGTTTGGAGTGTGACTGTTTGAGGTTGTGGACAGGTGTCTTTTATACTGATAACAAGTTCAAACAGGTGCCATTAATACAGGTAACGAGTGGAGGACAGAGGAGCCTCTTAAAGAAGAAGTTACAGGTCTGTGAGAGCCAGAAATCTTGCTTGTTTGTAGGTGACCAAATACTTATTTTCCACCATAAATTTTCCAAATAAATTCATAAAAAATCCTACAATGTGATTTTCTGGAATTTTTTCTCAATTTGTCTGTCATAGTTGACGTGTACCTATGATGAAAATTACAGGCCTCTCTCATCTTTTTAAGTGGGAGAACTTGCACAATTGGTGGCTGACTAAATACTTTTTTTCCCCACTGTATGTTTGGGGCAAATCCAACACATTTACATTTTAGTCATTTAGCAGACGCTCTTATCCAGAGCGACTTACATGCATGCATACATTTTTCATACAAAACATTACTGAGTACTACTCTCCATATTTTCAAGCATAGTGGTGGCTGCATCATATAATGTGTGTGCTTGTAATTGTTAAAGACTGGAGAGTTTTTCAGGATAAAAAATAATGAATTCACCTTTCAGCAGGACAATAACCTAAAACATAAGGCCAAATCTACACTGGAGTTGCTTAGCAAGAAGACAGTGAATGTTCCTGAGTGGCCGAGTTACAGTTTTGACTTAAATCTACTTAAAGGTCTATGGCAAGAAAATGGTTGTCTAGCAATGATCAGCAACCAATTTGACAGAGCTTGAAGAATTTTGAAAATAATAATGGGCAAATGTTGCACAATCCAGGTGTGGAAAACTCTGAGACTTAATAAAAAAAAACTCACAGCTGTAATTGCTGCCAAAGGTGCTTCTACAAAGTATTGACTCGGGGTGTGAATACTAATGTAAATTTAGATATTTCTGTGTTTCATTTTCAATAAATGTGCAAACATTTCTACAAACATGTTTTCACTTTGTCATTATAGGTTATTGTGTGTAGATGGGTGACGGGGAAAAAATGTTTGAATCCATTTTGAATTCAGGCTGTAACACAACAAAATGTGGAATAAGTCAAGTGGTATGAATACTTTCCGAAGGCAATGTAGGTGTCTGGTCCAGCTGTGAGTAGAGGGAATATCATGGAGCTTCTTCAGAAAGGAGGCGCCATTGCCGCCTCTTCTACCGCCGCGATGAGAGCCCCTACATGGGCACGGATGTGAACTGGCTTGCCTGTCTGTGTCTCCTCTGTGGAGTTGATGCTCCTGTCCAGTGTCTCTCCTGTGTTATCACACACAGTGGAGCTGTGAAAGAGGCCTGCCTGGTTGCCACCTCCTGGCTCAGCAGCTCATCCTCAACCCCTGGCCTATTCTTAAAAACGGAGTCCCAGCCACTATACCCCCCCTACAGTAGCAGGGATGTGATGGGACTTGGGAACTATCTTCAGACTCAAGTATTTCTGTCCTTCTTTTTGATATGGCTTAGGGGAAGGGGTGAGGAGGGGTTGCGTAGGGTTTGGCCACCATGTTTAATTATTAAGTTATAACAATTTTTATTAAGCTGTAGAATAAAATATGTTGTTCCTTTCAGAATTTTGGGAATATTCTGGAAGTGTGCCAGAATAGGTAAGCTATGTACAGCCTCTTTTCTAAAACGTTTAGCTGATTGCTAATATATCGATTTGCTATATAAGAGATAATTGTGACCGAACAGTCCTATAACCTTTTTTCTCTCTCTTCTTTTCAGGTGAACGTAAGAGTCCCTGGGTGGCTTGTTGCTGTGTCATGATGGCTTTCAGTATCCTGTTTGTACAGTAGCACAGCAGACGAGGAGGATGAGAAATGAGAAGAAGCATCAGGACATGGACTGTACGATCCACAAAGCACAGCAGAACCTGGATAGGGAGAAAGGGGAAACCGATCTCCACCATAGTAATGGATAGAGCGAGGGGTCTGGGGTAAGGAGTGTGTGAAATTCACCAGGGACTCTTGTCAGTGTGTGTGTAATGTTTACTTCAGTCATGTGGGGCCAATGTCTCCTCCACTATCTCAGTCAAATGCTTTAATGACTCAGTTTCACCCTCTCTTTGTTCATGGGATCAAAACATCCGCTAGAGGTTGGTCATATAATTTCAAACATATTGTGAAAGACAATGGTTTGTATTTTGCCTTGATTGGGCACTAAACTAACTTTACTGTGTTTTTGTATTTGAGGAATGTTGTTTTTTGAGGATATTTATGCTTTATCCTTGAAAATGATATTACGATCGGGTAAACACCTGAACGAGGGTTTATAATGCATTTACAACAAGTTCGTACAGTCTTATCATATCTCCTTTATTATTGAGAGGTTGTTATTGGAAGTCAACATGATTAACACAACAAATAACATGACACCTAGCAGTCATAAGGCTGATTGTCTTAACTACATGTTAGTTTCACAGAGCAGTGTCTTTTTATTTTATTTGTATGTGTTGTAATGGCTCTATTTATTAAATCATCTTTTTTGAAACTGAGTGGCCCAGTTTGTTACATACGTCAAGTACTTTAAGATCCATGCATCTATGTTTCTTTCATATTTTGGCATCTGTCAATCCTAGTTAACCCTTGATATGCACTATGGTATGACCATTGTAATGTATACAGTAGGGTCATATGAGGATAATGTGCATACCCTATCTGAGCTCCTCTGGATTCTCTCCAGACTGAGGGAGACGGTGAGGGGAGTGTGATGCCCTTTTGTTATCGGCTGTAACCTCACACTCATCTCCACCACTCTATTGCTGAGGATGTAGCACTCCGGGGAGGATGACAAACGTTACAGGACGACACTTCTCATTTCTTTGTGCAGTAGTGCTCTGTTCCTGTTTAGTCTTCTACTTTAAAACGGTGAGGAAACTTTTTCTAAATTTGTTTTTGAACTGTTGGACTTCGCTGAAGCTTGTCTGTGAGACCAATTACTTGTGAAAAGTTAAAACACTACATTTCACTTTGTATCAATGAGGTGGTGCTCACATCATTAATTTAACTAGGACAAGGGCACTGCAGTGTCATCCCAAAATCATCCCCTACACTAGTTGTGCTGCAGCCTGTCCAGAACACACACACATTTTCCCACACTATTTCCCCATTGTCAGTTGTTACAGAAGTGTCGACCGTGATAGCTTAACCGGCAGAAGTGTCGACATACAAGAACCGTGATAGCCTAACTGGCAGCGTCCATCAATGGAATGCACTAGTCCCCATATTGGTGCGTATCTGTTTTGGCAAATTCCGGTTAAGATGACCCATCAAGCAGAGCCTGCCGGTAATGCAGTGATAATCAGGCCGTGACGCAGATACAGGAGCCACTGAGGAGTAGTGGCCTCAGTCATCACTGCTGCTATCTTAAAGAGGCCTGATATGGGACCTGAGAGACAGTGTTGGGCTGGTGGACCAAGCTGTCTTGGTTGAAGATGAAAGGGTTTGGATAGGGTAAACTCTGGTCACGTTTAGTTTCTGTTTTTCTCTGTGTGATAGTAGCAGCAATGCCATTATGTAGGGGTAGGGATGGTCCTGATGATTAAGACAAAATGAAGGCGTCATCAGTGTTTATTCAGTCTAGTATTGCAGGACTGCGATGAGACATTGATGTGAATTATCAACATTGAGCTTGGCTAATACTTAAACAGTTTGGCAAATGTCAACTCTTGTGCCTGTGAAAGTGGAGATATTTATTTATTTATTGCTCTGTTCATTTTAATCTGCCTAAATCCTCAGACTCAATTAATAACCATTGACAAAAAAGACTACCTGGCGAAAAACTCAGAGTAGTTTGCCCAAAACAACAGTTCACCCATTCATGTTGATAATAAAGTAGTCTCTCCTGATTCTTGGTAATATATTTGAGTTGGCTCGTCTGAATTTACCCACAGTGATGCCAAAGGGTAAGGACCAGAGAAAATAAAAAACTGTGGCCATTTCCTGTCAAACGTGTCAGTTGGATTTCCAAATAATTGGTTTTACATCATTACCCACCCCCCACACACACGCACACACACACCACAGGAGGTTGGTGGCACCTTATTTGGGGAGGACGGACTCATGGTAATGACTGGAGCGGAATCAGTGGAATGGTATCAAAGACATCAAACACATGGTTTCCAGGTGTTTGATACCATTCCATTTGCTCTGTTACGGCCATTATAATGAGCCGTTATCCCCTCAGCAGCCTCCTCTGACACACACACTATTAGTGGGAAAACCACACATTATCACAACAGACCTGTCCTGACATGGCACCAAGCATGAGTCTCAATTCACTCTGGGAAAAGCCAACACAAAATATTCCACTCTGTTACTCTCCCAGGTCTCAGTCCCCACTGTGACAATACATAGAGTTATCTTGACAGGAGCAACTAACCCTTTAACTAAATGGTCAAACATGTCTTGATATTTGTGTCTTTGGCACTCAGGGATCATGAAAGTGATTGATATTTGTTTTTTTGTTTTTTTATTTTTTTATTGTGCAATCAGACAGGCTGACCCGAAACAGGCTAATTGTCATAAAGCCAGTCCCAAGCTAAACAGAGTGTTAGTCAAGCTAAACTAATGGGATGAGTAGTTTAGCTGTGTATAAGCCATACTTTCACCTCCTCTACTGTGGCACACAGACAAATGATGACAGAGTCAGCTCAGGAAACAAAGCCCTGTCTTTCATCGCTGGGCAAAGGCTGCTTCTCTGTATTCCCTGGATAGTGTTTTAAAGGATAAGCACTGTGTATTCATTGCTATGTCAAATAGTTACTGTATAGCCAATAGCATCATCATTATTACAACGTGTATCCCCTAATGGTTTTGGCTGGTCTTGGTTTACCATGGTGGCTTCATGGTTGGCAGTCGGTGGTCCAGCACCTAACAACCTGTAGTACAGTTTAGTTTTTAAGAATACGGTTCCAAATAAAGTTTTTATTTTTATTGTAATTTGGTATTTAATGGAGTATGTTTTGGGATAAACCCATGTAACCTCTACATTTATGAGGTATAAAACAGAAGCCTAGATGTAAGTGACTCCATGAAGTGGCACGAAATTAAGATTTCTGATCCAAAACACCTCATTTAATACGCTGGTCAATTTAATGCGCAATTAATTCATATGAATAGATATGGTTCACGTCAGCCCTGTTCTAATACAACATGTATTCCCTCTCCTTAGAACGTTGAAATTGATGGATGGTTGGTGGGGAAGCATGATGACCTAAGACAACAGTACAACAGTGAGCTCAGCTCATTTGGTTTAGTTTCTGCCCTCTAGATTTCCTCTCTACATTAATGACTGGAAAAAGCCTGTCATATTGAGCATTGAGGACATGTCTATTGAGATACAGCACAGCAGGCATATTACTGGCTCTGGGGTAGAATGGGTTCATCATGTATTCCTCTTACTGCTTTCAGAGCATGTTGCGATGATCAAATCTTCAATTGAGGCCCTGCATGGTAGGACCAGACAGACCATGTGCTCCTTTGATCGTTAGCTCGGACTCATTTGACATCTTCAAAGGCAATCAAGCTAATAAACTGTCCACCAAAGGAGCCACACAGGAGACCTAACAGACCTTTCAACATGTTAGCTAAAGACGCCTGGGAGAATAATATATTGATGAGAGAGGTAGGGAGGATGTTACAGTAGGATGTTAGAAAGGCAATATGCATGTCTGGAGTTAGTTAGAATGGGATGATATTGGATATTAATACATTTTTCTTATACAGAGTTAGTTTCTCACTTCTTACCGTCTATCTGACCCCATGTTTATCCATGTCTTTTTCTGTTTGTTTAATTGTCTGTTGCTCTTTAGTTTATTGAAGCTTTAGAGGCAAATATGTTATTGCTGTGGTGTCACATAGAGCAACCACAGGCAGCTAAGCAAGCCCCACTGTAAAGAACACAACAGGCTCATTCCTGAAGATTCTTCAGTCTTTTCCCCTCCACTGAGAAAGGATTACAAAGAGAAAAAACTATACCCTCATAATGTAAATAGTTGACGTCATAGAAAATCGTCTGTCCTCGGTTGCAACACTCACTACCGAGTTCCAAACTGCCTCTGGAAGCAATGTCAGCACAAGAACTGTTCATCTGGAGCTTTATGAAATGGGTTTCCATGGTCGAGCAGCCGCACACAAGCCTAAGATCACCATCCGCAATGCCAAGCGTCAGCTGGAGTGGTGTAAAGCTCGCCGCCATTGGACTCAGGAGCAGTGGAAACGCGTTCTCTGGAGTGATGAATCACGCTTCACCATCTGGAAGTCCGACGGATGAATCTGGGTTTGCCGGATGCCAGGAGAACGCTACCTGCCCGACTGCATAGTGCCTAATGTAAAGTTTGGTGGAGGAGGAATAATGGTCTGGGGCTGTTTTTCATGGTTTGGGCTTTCCCCCTTAGTTCCAGTGAAGGGAAATCTTAATGCTACAGCATACAATTACATTCTAGATGATTCTGTGCTTCCAACTTTTTTGCAACAGTTTGGGGAAGGCCCTTTCCTGTTTCAGCATGACAATGCCCCCGTGCACAAAGCGAGGTCCATACAGAAGTGGTTTGTCGAGATTGGTGTGGAAGAACTTGACTGGCCTGCACAGAGCCCTGATCTCAACCCCATCGAATACCTTTGGGATTAATTGGAACGCCGACTGCGAGCCAGGCCTAATCGCCCAACATCAGTGCCCGACCTCACTAATGCTCTTGTGGCTGAATGGAAGCAAGTCCCCACAGCAATGTTCCAACATCTACTGGAAAGCCTTCCCATAAGAGTGAAGGCTGGTCTAGCAGCAAGGGGGGGACCAACTCTATATTAATACCATGGTTTTGGAATGAGATGTTGGAGGAGCAGGTGTCCACATACTTTTGATCATGTAGTGTATAAAGTGGGTAAAACACTAAGTAACATTATTAAAGTGAACCGTGTTCAA